AGATAATACCTGACGGTTGGACGGTGACAGAGATAATACCTGACGGTTGAACGGTGACAGAGATAATACCTGACGGTTGGACGGTGACAGAGATAATACCTGACGGTTGGACGGTGACAGATATAATTCCTGACGGTTGGACGGTGACAAAGATAATACCTGACGGTTGGGCGGTGACAGAGATAATATTTGACGGTTGGACGGTGACAAAGATTATACCTGACGGTTGGACGGTGACAAAGATAATACCTCACGGTTAGGCGGTGACAGAGATGATACCTGACGGTTGGACGATGACAAAGATAATACCTGACGGTAATGCGGTGACAAAGATAATACCTGACGGTAAGGCGGTGACAGAGATAATACCTGACGGTTGGACGGTGACAGAGATAATACCTGACGGTTTGACGGTGACAGATATAATACCTGACAGTTGGACGGTGACAGATATAATACCTGACGGTTGAACGGTGACAGAGATAATACCTGGCGGTTGGACGGTGACAGAGATAATACCTGACGGTTGGACGGTGACAGAGATAATACCTGACGGTTGGACGGTGACAGAGATAATACCTGAAGGTTGGACGGTGACAAAGATAATACCTTGCGGTTGAACGGTGACAAAGATAATACCTGACGATTGGACGGTGACAAAGATAATACCTGACGGTTGGGCGGTGACAAAGATAATACCTGACGGTTGGACGGTGACAGAGATAATACCTGACGGTTGGACGGTGACAGATATAATACCTGACAGTTGGAGGGTGACAGATATATTACCTGACGGTTGGACGGTGACAGAGATAATACCAGCGGGTTGGATGGTGACAAAGATAATACCTGACGGTTGGGCGGCGTCAAAGATTATACCTGATGGTTGGACGGTGACAGAGATAATACTAGCGGGTTGGATGGTGACAAAGATAATACCTGACGGTTGGACGGTGACAGAGATAATACATGGCGGTTGGACGGTGACAGAGATAATACATGGCGGTTGGACGGTGACAGAGATAATACGTGACGGTTGGACGGTGACAAGGATAATACCTGACGGTTGGACGGTGACAGAGATAATACCTGGCGGTTGGACGGGGACAGAGATAATACCAGCGGGTTGGATGGTGACAAAGATAATACCTGACGGTTGGGCGGTAACAAAGATAATACCTGACGGTTGGACGGTGACAGAGATAATACGTGACGGTTGGACGGTGACAAGGATAATACCTGACGGTTGGACGGTGACAAAGATAATACCTGACGGTTGGACGGTGACAAAGATAATACCTGGCGGTTGGACGGTGACAGAGATGATACCTGACGGTTGGACGATGACAGAGATAATACCTGACGGTTGGACGGGGACAAAGATATTACCTGGCGGTTGGACGGTGACAGAGATAATACCTGACGGTTGGACGATGACAGAGATAATACCTGACGGTTGGACGGTGACAGAGATAATATCTGACGGTTGGGCGGTGACAGAGATAATATCTGACGGTTGGGCGGTGACAGAGATAATACCTGGCGGTTGGACGGTGGCAAAGATAATACCTGGCGGTTGGACGGTGGCAAAGATAATACATGACGGTTGGACGGTGACAGAGATAATACCTGACGGTTGGACGGCGACAGAGATAATACCTGACGGTTGGACGGTGACAGAGATAATACCTGACGGTTAGGCGGTGACAAAGATAATTTTGACGGTTGGACGGTGACAGAGATTACACCTGACGGTTGGACGTTGACAAGGATAATACCTGACGGTTGGACGGTGACAGAGATAATACCTGGCGGTTGGACGGTGACAAAGATAATACCTGACGGTTGGACGGTGACAGAGATAATACCTGACGGTTGGACGGTGACAGAGATAATACCTGACGGTTGAAGGTGACGGAGATTATACCTGAAAAACTAAACGATGATAGAAGACTGCTTATTGATCAGACAGGGTTTGGTAGGTGATCCATACCTAAATTGCATGAACGATCTTGAACGGTAGCATTTCTTGAGTTTACGATTCAGGACTTCAGAGTTCTTAGGACTTCTAGTTCTGTCTGTTACCTACATATATAAGACAGCCGTTTCCTTATTAGACTTTGATATTTCAAAATATGTGACGGACAGACAGACAAACAGACAGACAGACAGATATCGTGAAAATAAGTCCATCACGAC